AATCAAAATGAAAGAATACTTAAAATTATAGTTAGACATTATTGCCCAAGGATATCTCCCTCTTTTGGAGGGCCATGCCCAGCAGTGTTTGGGGACTCATGTGGTGTTAGGGAACCAAACCTGGTACGCTGAGAGCACACTGTGTGTTCTTGCCCTTTCAGTCATGAGACAGAGCCATAGTGCAGCAGGCGGCTGCTTACCTTGCATGTGGCCAAGCTAGGTTCAATCCTTGGCACCCCATATGGTCACCTGAGCCCCAGCAGGCACTCCTGAGCACAGAGCTAGGAGTAATCCCTGGGCATACTGGGTGCACCCCTCCCCACTCCCCACCCCCAGAAAACACACAAAGAAATAATTCTTTCACCTAATACAGGTCAAATGCCCAACAGTCTCCCACAAAACTTGATATTCAAGTGTCCCAACCAGAAGGCTTGGACATATATGGACAAAGTATGTGACACCAGAAATGACTGTGGTGATTGTGCCGATGAATCAGGTAAAAAGAAAATTCTTAACTGGTGTTTCATTGGGTTCGTGGAGTAGTTGCTCATGTTTCATTTGTTTTTGTTTGGGGGCCACATCTGGCTATACTCAGGGCTTATTCCTGGCTCACACTCAGGGATCATTCTTGGCAGGACTCACAGCACCAAATGGGGTGCCAGAGATCAAACCCTGGTCGGCCATGTGCAAGGCAAGCACCTTACCCGTTGTCCCACTCTCCTTCTGTCAGCGGTTACTCTTATACTTCAGTCACATAAATTAGCTTGAACTCACAAAGCTTCCTCAAGGTTTTTGTATCTATGATTAAACAGTTCTGTTAAGTTCCAGTAGTTTGCCTATTTAAGGCGGTAAGATTTTTATTTATTTATTTTTTGCTTTTTGGGTCATACCCTGCGATACACAGGGGTTATTCCTGGCTCTGCACTCAGGAATTACCCCTGGCGGTGCTCGGGGACCATATGAGATGCTGGGTATCGAACCCAGGTCGGTTGTGTGCAAGGCAAATGCCCTACCCGCTGTGCTATCGCTCCAGCTCCAAGGTTGGTAAAATTCTTAAGAAGCAAATGCAGATAGAATAGAATGGCAAAAACAAAGGAAGTAATCTTGAGAATCTACGCTTACTTGTTATCAAATTCCCTCTGGATTTCTCAGGAAGTCTTAGTAAAGGTGAAGGAAAAGTGATGAGTACTTCAACTAAGGCTTTTGCTTTAACTTAGCATTTCCTCACCCCTGCTCCCCACCTCAGTTCTTGCCTCCCTCATTGTTCTCTGATTGTTTGACACAGAACTTTGCAGCACTGAGCACCTTACAGTTTTGCAGGGTTGGATTCTTCTAGAGCCATGGTAGTAGTTACTCAAAATCTTAAAGACTCCCATTAGTAGGTAAGACTTCAGAGAAAAACAGTACACGAAATCTTTTCCTGCCTTTTGTCTGATCATTCATTGTGGAGGGTGGACACAGAAATGCTTCCTGGACATTGCATGCCATCTCACAGTTCACTGACAATAAAAGCTCAATGTATAAATAGCACCTTCTCTTCTTGTTAGTTGTCAATTAGCAAATACTGATTCTCCGGTTTATTGAGCATGCAAACTCATATGAACCCTTCCTTGTTTATGTAGTATGTCAAAGTGTTTATTTTCAGACAGATGGGGAGAGGTAGAATTCTTCCTGGAGTTTCAAAGTACAAATTCTTTTACCCAAACATGTAGAATTTTTAATAAACATCTGCAATTTTCTCTTTGAATAGTTTTCACTGGTATTTTTAAGATCTGATGGGTTCTTTTCCAATAGTATCTTTCCCAGTCCTTGACATTTCAGCAGCTCTGATTTTAAAAATAAAAATTCTCTAGTTTTACAGTGCCCAAAATGTTCAGGCTGGAGATGTGAGACTGTTTTCTTCGCTGACTGTGCCTGCATTTCCAGAACTCGTTGCAAAAATGATATTCAAGATTGTGCTGATTGGAGTGATGAAACTATGTGGAGAGGACTTTTCTAATCATTCTTATGAAGAAGCCTGAAAACTTGTTTCCTTAAGACTCTCCAAAAGAGTAACATATATCTTATGGTGGTAATTAGTAAAGCATAAATCCATTGTTAATGAAAAAAAAAATTAGCAAAAATTGGGCGTAACCTTTAGTGACCATCAATCCTTTATGTTTTTCTGTGCAGGATGTGGGGGGATGTGGCTGGGAGCTGGGGTACACCATGCAGTGCAAGGGACCATATGAGGTGCTGTGAATGGAACCCAGGTTGGTTGCATGCAAAGCAAATGCCCTACCCACTGTACTATCACTCTAGCTCCAATCCATTGCTTCTAGAATGTAGCTTTCTTCCCTGTACACCAAGGGTTATTATGGGAATGAACCAACCTTTTCTAGTCAATTATTTCAACAATGTTATGTTAAATGTATGTTTTCAAATCCAAAGCAACATCTCTTCATGAATAGCCCTTTTCAACAATAAGCAAGCTAAAAGTCACTTTCCTTAAAGAACAGTCTTAAAACTTGTTATCGGGGCTAGAGCAATAGCACAGCACAGTGGCAGGGCATTTACCTTGCATGCGGCAGACCCCGGGGAACCCCAGCATGCCATATGGTCCCCCAAGCACCACCAGGAGTAATTCCTGAGCGCAGAGCCAGGAATTACCTCTGAGCATCGCTGGGTGTGACCCAAAAGGAAACAAGACAAAAAGCATTGTGTTATCACCCTCCAGGGAGGATTATACCTGCCCAAGTCTCCTGGCAATCAGACTTAACAATGTACCCTGGTGGATGGAGTTTCTTCAGACCCAGCCTGTAGTCATTCCCTTTCCCTGTCCTAAAGGAAATATTCCAATTAGATGCTACTGGAGTAAAGGAGCCCAGTCGCAGGTAACCTGCATTGTGTTTACAACAAAAGTTTAGTCATTTCTAACACAACCCTCCCAATCCTCATAGGGAAAATACTAAAAAGAATCCTTACTGCTATGAACCCCAGTGGTAGGCTGCATGTCTCATCTGTGGCCCTGGGTTCCATACCTGGCATAAAATCCTCCATTAACCTGGAGCTACTAACAGATTATTTACATGAATCAAATATCCTCTTGAAGTTGTCAGGGCTCACGTACCAGCACAGCAAGATTAACTTTTAGCATCTGCTATAGTATAGGCCTCACCTGAGAATCTCTAACCTATATTCTCAGTAGGTCTAAGGGGAAACTAGAAATAGGAGACGATCATCCAAGAATAGCAGAGGTAAAAAGACCAGGAGGTTTGCCCTACGGCCTGGAAGCCGGCCTCACATGCTGGAGAAAAAGGCAGACAGAAAAGGGAACACCAAGTAAAAGGTGCTGGGAGGACGCTCGGGTTGGGAGAAAATAAGACTATAGATTGAACACAATGGCCACTCAATACCTCTATTGCAAACCACAATATCCAAAAGGAGAGAACAAAAGGCAATGCCTTGCCGAAGAGGCTGGGTGGGGAGGAGAGGGGAGAGGGAGTGGGGGGGTGGGGGGTGGGGTGTGGGAGGGATAGAGATCATTGGTGGTGGTGAATGGGCACTGGTAGAGGAATGGGAAACCGACCGCAAACACGAACGTTTTGTAAGTATGTTAACAGTACCTCAAGGTGATTCACTAATAAACAATTTTTAAAAAAATAAGGGGGAACTAGAAAGGTGTTTGGGCAATCCCTGCAAGCTCTTTAGGCAGGCTGTCACTGTTACCCTAACTTCTTCCAATGAGCTAGGTCCAGCAAGCTGGACCCATGGCACCAGGAACCAACACTAAAAATGCAAATCCCTAGATCCCACACCTAAACTCTTTGACCCATACTATCTGGGTTAACCATTCCACAGGGGACAGTGGTAGTAGAGCAGGTAGGCGTTTGCCCAGGTTCAACCCCCAGCACCCCATACTGTATCTCAACCCCCGCCAGTAGTGATGCCCTAGTGAGCCAGTAAGGTCTGAATACAACCAGATATGGACAACCATCCCCCCCCCCAAAAAAAAAAAACCTAGCACATTGCATACCCATTAGCCAAGAAGAATCCCTGTGGAGGCCAAAGCAAGACTTGAATATGTAGCAGAGTCCACTTTTGCCTGGATACTTAATCTGTAACTCTGTAAGCAATACTATAAACAAGGACTTGTTACTGTAGCATTCTACTTTTAACTGTTACTTGTTCTGTCCCTTGGGGACAATGTATGTAAATACTGTTTGCACTTTGGGTAGTTACAATCAGGTATTTTAGTGCCTCTAAAGGGTACTCCTAAACCACAAAGAATTGCCATTGCTACACTTAAAAAAATCTGCTCGGACATCTTAATTGCTAACATTCCCCCCCCCCCCAAAGTAGTCCTGTGCGTGGAGGGAACTTTCTGGGATAATAACTGTTTAGCATCTAGAATGCTGGCACTTATTGTACTATTTACAACTGCATGCTCACGTGTCATTTTACTCTTAAAGTGACTTTATTATCAAACATTTTTAATTTTAAAACAGCCTTATTTTATACTTAAGGAAAAGATGGCATTCCTACCACAAATGTGTTTTTGTAATCTTTTGTAAATCCAGAAAGGAGTTAGATGAACCACTTTTAGTTTTTAGAGTAACATTGAGTTATTTTATCTTCAGCTACTAGTCCCTACTAGTCCCTACTTCATATACTGAGGATCATTGTGATATTTAAGACACCATGTTTACAGTATAGACAATACTAAGAGAAGGAAATAAAACCTTGTTCAGTCAATAAGAAAATCATCTCTTTCTATCCACCCATCACATAAACCACTGGGGAAGAAAAAACTGAGGAAAAAATCCTACTATGGGGGAGGGATCTGTCAAACACGAGAACTTTATACCACCTTTGTTGTGTTATACGGTCATTTCAAATCTTTAATCAAATTTCATCAAAGATTATTCAGTCATTATTACATGTCACGATTAGCTTTCTATATAAACAAGTTTGCTTTCTGTGTACAAATCAGTGCCAATGAAATAAAAAATTAAACTGTATACTAGGCAAAGAACTTTATTAACCTTTGTTTCAAACTTTATTCTCAGGCTTCTTCCGCTTAATTAGCTGCAAAGAATGACTTGTATATAAGCAAAAACTGAAAAGAGCTGCAGTGTCCAAGGGGCTTGAGCTTAAAAATATTAGCTCTAGATCTTATTAGATCCTTGAACAAAATTTTAAAAAGCAGTCATAATATAAAATAGCAGCTCCCAGTAACTTCTTCAAGTTTTATCTTCTTCAGAAGCTGACTCAATTCAGTTTGCTTCATTCTTGGAAGCCTCATCAAAATTCTCCACGAGATCTAGAAAAAACGGGAAAAAAGTGGGGGTAGAAACACATAGAAAAATCTATTTGTACAAATAACCATCAGACATGCTAAAGAGAAAATGCTCTTAAAATATAGCCTAGGCCATAAATGGAAATACTTATTTCTACTAAGACCACTATCTACATAGCAAAGAATATGTCTGGGCATATATGATTAAAACAAGGGGAGGCGGAATGCTAATGACAAAACTTTTTGTGCTTTAAAGATATTCTCCCCCTTCACATCTCACTCTAAGGACTAAAGATAATGCGACACTTTAATCTGCGTGAGGGGTAAACTGAAAAATTATCATAATGCATAAATTCTGAGGTTTTTCTCAACTCCCAAGGACACCCACCTAAGCAAAATGGTAATACTTAAGGAATCTGATGGTTACAAGGACATCTCACAAACACATCTAGTAACAACTAAGATAAAATATTTAAATAAACCTTCCAAGCCTTCTCAATGTTGTGGATCTCAGAGTAGAAATCAAGGTTATTATGTGTAATCTGCAGTAGCGATATTTAGGCTACTCATATATTTATGTATTTAATAAATATGGTTAGATAACCATCCCTCTAAGAATCCCAAGCAGAAAATAAGCCACTCGACACATATGTCTCCAGATAACAAACAATGCTTCTCATCTCCCCTTCCCACGCCCCCTTCTAACTTCATGTTTTCCCTGTCCCCACTTTCCTGTTAACCCAAAAGCAATCTTCTGGATAGAAGAGAACTTTAGCTGCCCTCTCTAAGGTTCTCTAGTGAAAGATCCTACCTGGAACTTCATCATCATCATCCTCTCCAGTAGCAAGTGGTGCTTTTCCATCCACCGCTGTGAAAGGAAATTGTAATCAAAGTTACACATCTGTCTATACCCTTAATGAATACTAACCACAAGAACAAATGGAAGGTCTGCACCGTTGCAAATTATATCAATGATGACATTTGGTAACATTTGGGGTCTCAACCATAGCCTAACTTCCTAAACTATGGTTCAAACCCCATGAATGTGGAGGCTGCAAAAAAATTGGCAACAGTAAAGTTTCTAAATATACAACCAAAAATTCAAGATCAAGAGCATTCACAAATTCACGGTGTTTCTGGTAGTGCTAGTCCACGTATTAGATTTTATACATTAGTATTACATGTATTGGCCCAAATGGTCTCAGGCAGAAGTTTAAGCTCTACAGTATCAGCAATAACATGATGAGCTAGAGTATCAATAATAAGAGCTAAGAAACCAAATTCCACATTTAACCTTTCAATCCCTCTGGCCCAACACAGACACTCAAGTATATTAGAATAAGCCTCCACCTAAAGCAAAACTCTTCCACAGGTAAATCCACACACCAAATTTATTAGGATTTGTGAAAGCATGGATTATTTTCTCAAATACTGCTTGTTACCTGATATGTTTGAAAAACCTTTGAGATAAAAACAAAATTATAAAATAACTTGTCTTTTGAGTGGTGCACATCCATTTTCCTTTTATTGTACAAGAAAAAGAACTACTGGGGCTGGAGCAATAGCACAGCGGAGAGGGCGTTTGCCTTGCATGCAGCCGACCCAGGTTCAATCCCCAGTATTTCATCTGGTCCCCCAAGCACCGCCAGGAGTAATTCCTGAGTGCAGAGTCAGGAGTAAACCCTGTGTATCGCCAGGTGTGACCCAAAATGCCAAAGAAAATGAACTACTCATGAGAGCTAATACATTAGATGGTCTGATTCAGTGAACACTTATTTGAAAGCATACCTTAGTTCAGAAAGCCAAAGAGTTTCTAAAGCCTATGCCTTTCAATGTGAAAAAAAAAAAAATAAATTGAAGCAGAATGTAAAACAAAAGGCCACATCAAAGTCTAGTGTGTATGCATCCATTTCGCAGAATTTAGTTTTGTTTTTTTGGGGCCACATCCAACTGTGCTCAGGGATCACTCTGGCAGGCTTGGGGGGGCCATACGGGATGCTGAGGACTGAACCCAGGTAAGCTGCATGCAAGGCAAGCATCCTATTAGCTGTACTATTTCTCTGGCTCCATTCTGCAGAACTTTAATCAGCGGAAGATACCTAACTTCCAATTATTTGTTTACCTATTAAATGATTTTTTAGCCTCAACCAACTTACATTACTATGAATATTTGAGATTGGGCTATTTTAACATCACTTGTATATAAATCTGATAATATATACGCTATATTATATTTACTAAGGTTATCTACCAGTAGTGTTCGGGGTCCAGAGTTTGGTCCTAGCGATACTCAGCCTTAAGCCTGGCATTTCAGGCCTGACAGTTCAGCACTCAATCCCAGCCATGTGGCGTCATGTGGGTTTAAAGGGTAATAGGGCAACAGCCCAAATCCTAGGGTGGTTGAGGAACCATTTGGTGCCATAAAAAATGAAAACTTGAAAAACTCAGGGCTACCTTCCCAGTGCAATATATAGCTAACTCTAAATAGCTAAGTACCAAGAAAGCCCCAAGTTAACATTTCTATGCTTTCTAGTCAATGAAGTCTAAACGTTAAAAGTTCTGATCCAAAGAAATCACGACCATCCTGTTATTCGTCGATTGCTTCGAGCAGGCCCCAGTAACGTCTCCTTCATCCTAGCCTTGAGATAGTGCCATATTCAAGGCACTATCTCAGGGCTAGGATGAAGAAAGGATCCCAAAAAATAGGGTTAGAAAATATTTCAATGAGTAGAACAATCATAACGTGACATTATTAAACATACCAAGAATTATTTAGGAAACAGGTAACAGAAGAGCAAGCAGGGTACTTGCCATAAAACAGACTACCCAGGTTGGCTCCCTGGCATCACTTACAGTCCCCAACATTGCCCCATTCACAGTAATCCCTGACAGAGACAGAAGCCCTGAGCACTGAATGTGTCCTAAAAAACAACACTTAAAAACCAGTGTAAAAATAAGTGAAAAAAGTTTACACTTATTAAAGATAAACTAGTAACTAGTACACCATGGGTAAAACCACTACCAGGAAAACTTACATTGTTTAGGCAGAGCTTCAGCAAGTCTCCTCAAACTAGTCAGACTGTCTGCACCAAGTTGGTTTAAGATACTGGGAAGCATTTCTGTCAGCTGCTTTGTCTCAGCATGGCCTGTAATGGTGAAAGTGTTCGCTGCCAGGGATGCTTGAACTTTAGGATTATTAAAGTGGATCACTGTTCCTTGGTTTGTGAACATATTCACCTAAAAAGAGGGGGGGGAAAGGTTTTTTTGATTGGCTACATCAAACTTTATTTAAATCAAACATTAAGCAAATCTCAAAGTTTAGCAAAATAATCTACTACCGAATTACATTTGCAATGTGCTTGGAATCTGACAAGTGTAATCTACTTGCTTTCAGACTTAGCAACCTTTTTTTTTAAGGGAGTAAAGTAATTATGACAAATATGAAATTGTACTGGCTAACAGTAAAACCATTCAGGACACCAACATTTAAAAATTTTCAAATTCTGTTTTGAGAGCAACAGCACAGCAGTGGGCGTTTGCCTTGCACAGGGCCAACGTGGCCGACCTGAGTTCGATTCCTACGCCCCTCTCAGAGAGCCCGGCAAGCTACTCGTGACTGACATATTCGATATGCCAAACACGGTAACAAGTCTCACAATGGAGACGTATTGGGCCCACTTGAGTAAATCAATGAACAATGGGAGGATAGTACGAGTGCTGTTTTGAGAAAAGATAAAATAAAATACTTACCTCTTCAATACCAGAGATATTATTTACGCCCAACTTCTTTAAAGAGAACTGAAGTTTCTTATCATCTGCTGTAGCTGTTCTATGAACCACCTTCTTCTTTCTGCGAGCAGTTCCCTGGCAAAAAGGGGAGGGGGGAAAGGAAGGAAAGAAAACATTTATATAATAATATTTTCAAATGCAAAATTCCAGATTCTGAGAGTCCGCTGTGTTCTTTAGAGGTGCATTAGAAAACCACCATAACCACAAACTTTAATGCGCAGTGAACATGGCAATGGTTAAGGGAATGATGGCAGCTGAAAGGATTAAAAAACTGTCTACACATCCTCGCAACTTTGGATACAATAAAGGAATGATATTTAGTAAGTCCTACTTTTCACGTTCTAGTCCCCTCTTCTTGTAGCATTTACAGAATTTACTCCCTTCAAATCAGTCTATTTCTAATATTACCATATCAAGTTGTCTCTGACAACCACCCAATGCAAATGCAAACTAGGTTATTTTTCTGCATCACAGTACGACTAAGAGGTACATATTATATTATGACCCCCCCATGAGAATTAAGCTACTTCAGGCTTCTATTGTTTTCTCATGGGTTACTTTTTTTTTAAAATAAAGACTAACCTTTTACATGCTACTTATGACTCCACCTACTTCATTATCCGGACTATCTTACCAACTTCTATTCATTCCTCAAAATCCTATGTAAATCACTGCCTCTTCTGGTCTTCCCTAAGCCCCCAAGCTAAGTAATTCCTATAACTGAAAATGCATCTACTGTACCTCATACTGTGCAGGCAATTTTTTTCCCCTAAGGCACTTAATTCCCTTACTCACCTACTAGAAACTTTAAATATCTTATGTTTTAAATCATCAGGATCCAGCATAGCAGATGCTTGTTACATTTTAAATGGAAACAAGTATAAAGTAGCAAAATTAAAAAGAAAAAACAAGTCTAAGCACACACACAAAACCAATCCCAAACCACTTGTTACTCAATTAAAAAAAAAAATTCCAAAAAAACCTCTAACTGACATGGTCACAGGCTGATACCTGGTTTCCAGAAAGTCCCAAAGATACTTTCAAAAATCACACAATTCCAAAAATAAAACCACACCTTTATAAGGTTCCATCAGTGCCACATATGTGGAGTTCATTTTTTAACTGGAATAATCAAGTTATTTCATGATGCCTCAACAGAACAGTGGGGAAAAAAAAGGGTTATATAGCATTTACCCAAAAAGTACACTTGAAAAGCTCTTTCTCTAAGGCAAAACAAGCTCACATAATCTTCACATACCCTAAGAAAAGTTTTTTAAAGCCAAGAAATATTTGCATATTACAATAACAATAGACTTAGAACTAAACCAGGAAAGTTCAGCCCTACTCCACTTTCTAAAAACCCTTGAAAACTTACCCTACAATATCTTGTTAAAAACGAACAATCAAAAACAAACAAACCATCAAACCATCAGTGTCATAAAATAAAGATGGTATGCAAGTACATTACTCAATTTATTCCTTCTGAAACCGGCACAAAAAGAAACAATGGCTAAAATCAGTATTAACTACATTCAAACATTAACTCACACAGAACATGACAAGTTTTTCTGGGCTATGAAGGCCACACCTAACATCAAACAATTATTGAAAAGAACAAGAAACACCTGATCTTAATAGGTAGGAACAGTTTATCAAGAAAAAAAGATCAAGATACATTAGCTGTTGCAAAGTTAAGTAACTTAACAGATCCAACTACTAATTTCCTAAATTTAAGTGTAACTTCTACTTTACAGTAGTCTCTACTAAGAGATAAATACTCCAAGAAAAACTAATAAGTAATAAACTTGTATTATGGAATTTCTACAAGTTTTACCAAGTCAAGACATGCTCTGTTCCAACAGGATACCACACCTTGTTAAATACTAGGAATGTACTAACACAATACAAAACATAATCACGGTGGATCAAGTGTAGACCAGGCTGTATTTTTAAAGCTAACTTAACAACATTTTAAATACGTACCAAGTTCAAAAAAGATTTAAGAGCTCAGTATTTTCTAATTAATCAGAGAAAAAGAATTAACCAAAAAGTTATTTAACATCTACCAATCATTCTCATTCCCTCAATTTTAATAATAAAATTAAAATGGAAGGCTGCCTGGCTCAAGTGCTATTCTCAAATCCATAGAGACTGTTCTTAAATTCCAAAATGCACCCATAAGAGAGCTTTAAATATCCTAGAAAATGCGTAATTCCTCTGGGCTGCATCTAGCTTTAAAACTATGTGTTAAAAAAATAAAAGCACAGCAAAAAAGGTCTGAATTTACAAGAGTCACAAACTTCTATTTAAGTACCATTATCTTGATCCGCAAATTATCAACTACCCTCGAAAAGGAAGAGCCATGAAGCTAATCCTTGTGAAATGACACATTTTCTGGCTAGCTGAATCAGGGAACACTTTGTTCCACAACACTATAACCATGAAAACACACACGAGCAATGTCATCTCAATTTCTTGGCCATTTTCCATTTCACAACAACACAGCCCGCACATGTCACTGCTCCAACCCTCCCATTCCCGCCTCTGCCCCTCCATTTGCGAAGTCTGTGAAACACTTCTTAGATCGTCAAAGAGAGCTGAAGAAAACTGCTCAAGGAAAGACAAAAGCCACCCTACACCTTAAAATTAAAAAAGAAAAAGAAAAAGAACGCGGCGTGGGGGGTCGGGGGGAAGCGCGGAGCGAAAATGAACTTACTTTCCCACCAATGCGCACTTGGGCTTGCAGTTTGGCGAGCTTCTCTTGGTTCATCGTTTCTTTCATCTAGAAAAAATTCAAAGGCGTGAAAACCTCAGCGAGGACAGGTCCGGCTCGGTCCGGCAGTCCACGCTCGCCACCTCCCAGGCTCCTCCAGCAAGGAGTAGGGGCCCCCACGCAGGCCTCGCGAGACCCGGCGCCCCACCCCACCCAGCCAAGCTCGCAGTTGCGATTTTCTAGAGGCCTGGGACACCCGCTTTCTTGCATTCCCTCCCGCGCATCCCCCTTCTTTACCGACCCGGACGGGGCGGCTGCACCCCGCACCCACAACCCGCACCCCCACCCGCCGCCCCACCCCCCACCCCGGCCCGGCCCGGCCCGGGCCTAGCCAGGGCCTCCCGGCGCGGACGCTCTCCGCAAGCCTCGCGGTACCTGAGGCTCCGGTGCTCGGGCTCCGCCGCGAGGTGGAGGCAGCGACGGCGTGGCCTCCTCGGCCCCGGGGCCGCCGCCCCGCTCGCGACCTCGCCCCCGGGAAGCCGCCGGAGCCGGAGCGCCCGTCCGTCGCATCGCTCGCCTCGCCTGAGCCCCAGTCCCTCCCGAGTCGCGCTCCTTCCGGGCACTTCCCGCCCCCGTTCCCGTCCTCCTCCCACGCCGGCGTCCAGCACCACCTTTTTGTACCTTGTTGGAGCGGAAATGGGGCCGCGCGGGGGACTAAGGGTTGGCGCTCAGGGGGTCTCGGCGGACCAGCTGAGATTAGGCGCACACACGCGGGGACGCAAGATGGCAGCTAGAGGGAGGCCGGAAGTGACGCGCCGCCACTTCCTCCCCGAGCCAGGAAACGGGCCGCGCCGCGAGGGCAGGGCCCGACTGCGCAGGCGCATTCTCCCCCCTCAACCTCCCCCCCCCCCCCCCCCACGGTCCCGGGCTAGGCCCCCCACCCCGCCCCCGCCGCTGGGTCTGTGACGCGCGCTGCGGCGGAGCGTGCTTCTCCCTGCGCGCATGGGACTAGATCTCCGCCGGGGACTCGGGGCTGAGAACGGCCTTAGCGGGCTCAGGCCGCTGGTTCTGGGCGGTTAGGACGGAGTAAGTAGGCCCTGCAGCTGTGGGCCCTGATCTCGGAGTCCGTAACCCTTCTAGGGGCTCCTCGCCGGTTGCAGGACGGCTGGGGGCACCCAGCGCGTGCTCCTCGGCGGCTGCGGGGGACGGGGCGATCCGCTCGGCTTTGGAGTCCCCCTTAGGCCCGCAGGAGCCTTTCCCGAGGCATTGCTGGTGAATTCTTGGTTCAGAGCCTCGGAGCTTCTGTAACGCGGTTGGGGAGGGCCCCCCCTTCGGCGTCCCTTAGCCCCTAATCTTCGGCGCCCTGGCTGCAGCCCCCGGGGGGGACCGAACCTTAGACCCGCGTGCGGGAGTTTATTTAACAAGAACAACAAGGCCAGTGTGACAGCAGACACGGATTTGAAGCGATTCACCCATGGAAGAAAAAATAGATTGATCTTTTTCTAAAACTGAGTACTTAGATCAAAGGAGAATTTGTTACCAGATTTTCGGGTTTGCCCCGCCCCTCCAAGCGCCTTTGAGAGTAATCTTAGAGAATGTTCGATGGTTTTTGTTTGTTTGTTTTAATGGTAATTTAAATAAAAATCTAGACAGTCTTTTTTTTGGTAGTACCTATGAAAAGGGTTTTCATATTCAGAAATGAGTTCTGAGTCTTGCCTGGGGTTAAATGCAACACCAACTGTTACAAATTATCTAAAGAGCAATACAACTACCCACCAGTTACTCGTTTATTTTTCTTTTTCTTTTTCTGTTCTTGTTTTTTCGCCAAATCTGACCGTGCTCAGGATTGACTCCTGATTCTGCACCCGGGATCTCTCTTGGCAGTGCTCAGAAGGCCCTTTGATTTGCCGGCGATGGAACCTGGGGCTGCGTGCACGGCCAGGGCCTGCCCGCTGTACCATAGCTCCAGCCCCAAGTGCAGTTCATTTCTTTAGCAAGTTGTCGGTGCAGATTATTCTGCAAGTGCCCACACCTGGTGAAGTTGTGGGGTCTTTTTATACAGTCTAGCGATTGGATTTAGGATCCATACAGGGTTCTGCCGCCTGTCAGGCAAATGCGTTATCCTTTTTACTGTCTCTCTGTCCTGTATATATCGGGATGGGGGTGGGGGGGCTCCTGGCGGTAAAACGCCCAGGGTTTACTCCTGGTTCTGTGATCCAGGATTACTCCTGGCAGTGCTGGGAGGGATCCATGTGCGCTGCCAGGGATCCAATCTGGGTCAGCAGTTTGCAAAGCAAGCGCTCTGCTCGCTTTTATCTCTCAAGACCTATTGGCTCATATTTAAAAAAATACTTTTAATTGGTAAGTGTGTTGAAAGGGAAGAAAGTAACTGGTGGGTAGTTGTATTGCTCTTTAGATAATTTGTAACAGTTGGTATCTTTTTGATCTTTTAAGTGTTGGGAGATGACTTAAAGGGCTGGAGATTGGGAGACAGCCCCAGGCCTGCCTCTGACACACACATTCCCTCTGATTGTGGCCCAGAAAATAAAAAGCCAAAAACCCAAATGTTGCTTCTGTTACTAGAGTTAAGTCCAGTTTAGAACAGGAAAGGGTGTTAGTTCTTTTAAGTTGTGTGGGTCACTGTTCTAACAATATAGGTCAAAATGACTGTGCCAATATTATCAAGTGCTATTAAACATAAAAATAGCCAGGGGTGTGGCTAAGGACCGAGTACATGCATGCATGGTGCTGGGTTCAATCCCACCATTACAGAAGCAAACCCACCAATAGAAATTGATGGGTACATAGAAATAGCTTCCCCTTTTAAAAGTATTTGTTCAGGAATATTTTTCTTCTCTCCTTATTTTGGAAGTATTTGAGTCCAGTTATGTACTCTTTTCTGAGTATTTAAATAAGCAGGATTCAGCCAATGGATTCACCTTTTATATATCTACTTTCAAGATATGTTCCAGGCTTTTTTTTTTCCTTTTTGGTTTGCACTTTACTTTTTTTTTTTTTGTAATTTGAAAGACTTGGACCATGTTGGACATAGTAAAAGATGCTTATGGGCTGGAGTGATAGCACAGCGGGTAGGGTGTTTACATTGCACGTGGCCAACCCAGGTTCGATTCCCAGCATCCCATATGGTCCCCTGAGCACCTCCAGGAGTAATTCCTGAGTGCAGAACCAGGAGTAACCCTGTGTATCGCCGGGTATGACCCAAAAAAAGAAAAAAAAATAGCCCTTAATAGTAAGGAAAGATAAGCTGCCTTCTGCTTATTCTAAAAGTGTTCGGGAAATTCTCTTCTGATAATGGTTTTGTATGAATCTTTTTAACAAATTCTGTTACTGTGAAAATAACCAATTTGCTCTCTAAACCCCAGGGTACAGAAGAGTAACTCACCTTCTCTTCTGCACTCCTGAGTTGAGAGGGCAGTACGTTTCCTGTGTGCTCCCAGAATTGATGGCAACATGGATTACTGGCCCCATGTTTTCCTGGTGAGCTTGAGGAAGTCTAAGAATCATTTACTCAGCGTTCAACCCTGCCTCTATCAATAGAGTATGCAAGAAAGGGGAACCTTGTTTGCCCTTCTTGATTTATAGTTTATGATCTAATCAAAGTCCATGGATTTTTTTATTGTAAGAAAAAAGTGACATTACTTTTATTTATTTAAAAAAATTTTTTTTTATTAGTGAAACACCATGAAGTACATTATAGACTTACAAATTTTTGTGCTTGGGTTTCAGTTATACAGTGATCAAGTACCCATCCCTCCACCAGCGCCCATCCTCCACCACCACAGGTCCCAGCATCCCTCTCACCCCCCATCCCTCCCACCTCACCCTGCCTCTGTGGCAGGGCATTCCCTTTTGTTCTCTCTCTCTCTCCTTTTGGGTGCTGTGGTTTGCAAGAGAGGCATTGAGTGGCAATCATGTTTGGTCTATAGTTTACTTTCAGCATGCTTCTCCCATCCTGGTAGGATCCTCCCAACACCCTTTATTTGGTGCTCCCTTCTCTATCTGAGCTTCCTTTTCCCCAGCACCTGTGGCTGGCCTCCAAGTCATGGAGCAAAATTCCTGGTACTAAATCCCGGCCACTCCTGGGCATGGATTTTTTTTTTAACCTCAGTACTCCAACTAGACCTAAAATATTTGTTCTTGCTTGTTAATATCCCATTCTCACAAGAGAGATTTAAAATCACTGAGGATAAATGTTCCCCTGCTTTTTGTGTTTCACAACTTTTGAGTGAGAGGTCTAATGGATCTTTTTTCTTTTTTTTTTTTTTCAATTTCTAACTCTCCTTTGAACTAGCACCCTCATTTTAGTCAAGTTGACTTTACTTTGTTCTGAGACTTAAATAATGTGGGTTTTTTTTTTTTTTTCAGTCATACCCGGCTATGCACAGGGGTTACTCTTGGCTCTGCAATCAGGAATTACCACTGGCGGTGCTCAGGGGACCATATGGGATGCTGGGAGAATTGAACCCAGGTCGGCCCCATGCAAGGCAAATGCCCTACCCGCTGTGCTATTGCTCCAGCCCTGTTTTATTTTTTAAATGAGAAATCATTAACAGTATTGTAAATCACAGAATCATAATACAATTTAAAATCTTATTTATTCTTAAATTTTGGGGCCACACCCAGCAATGGTCAGGGCTTATTCCTGACTCTGCACTCAGGAATCACTCCTGGAGGTGCTCAGGGGACCATATAGGATGCTGGGAATCGAACCAAGGTTGACCGTATGCAAGGCAAGCGCCCTACCCACTGTACTAACTCTCCAGCCCCACAGTGTCTTTTAAATATTTAAATCTTTATGACTAGCTACACCAAGTAGTGCTGGACAAGTGGTATGTGGTAGCAGGAGTCAAACTTAGCACCTCACACTTCGGGGGCACCACTTGAGCTATTTCCCTGGCCTCTGTTCTCAGTTTTAATGTCTCAGGAAAGCCTTTGAAATCTGCAACCCCACTAATTTACATTTATCACACTTCATTTTAGTAGTATTTTACTGAATGCAAACTAAGGGGTTGATGATTTTGTTGTTGTGTGAATAGAGAATTGAACTATGAGTTTGAATAGTTTGTCCCAAATCCATCTTGAGAGTGGACTCCTTGATTATGGGAGCTCACAGTAATCTTATGAGGTAAGCACTTACCATATTCCTGGAAACTGACAGGCTTTTAAAGTAAAAGGTGAAAACTGACACAATGACATCTTCCCACCACCAAATCTACCTCTCTGTATAAATCTGCTTTTTTGTTTTCTGAGGTTTTTTTTTGCCCACACCCAGTGATGCTAGGGGTTACCCCTTACTCTGCACTCAGTAATTACTCATGGTGGTGCCCGAGGGGACCTTATAGGGTTTTAGAGATTGAATCCAGGTTGGTCACATGGAAGGCAAGCACCATACCCACTGTACTATCGCTCTGGTCAGTGCCTGTCTATGTAGATTGGTATTTGTAAATATTGTCATTATTCTTAATTACAGATGGATTAAACATTGTGTTGAGGTCTATTTCTTCCATTCCCCCCCCCCCATACTGTTTTCCCTTTCAAGTAGATCATTGTACCAGTATCCTAATATGATCAAGTAGCAGGTTATCTTAAAATTGAACAAAACAAA